TGTGTGTGTGTGTGTGTGTGTGTGTGTGTGTGTGTGTGTGTATCGTGCATTTTTAGCTTATATTACTACCTTGAAATACTTATTCATTCAAGTTCATCCTGCTGCACTGTTATATTCTACCATGTTGTTGCTCATTATCTCTCTTTAGGACAATGTATTATAAATATTTTAATTACTTTTTCACTGTTTGGTACTTCTTTTTGTGTACACTTATTGCATGCTTTTTGTATTTTCTTGTTGGTTTGTTCTTTGATTTTTTTTAGCGAGTCAAATCGGTCCTTCTCGTTCTAAGCATTTCATTGTACTGTTAACCCTGTGTTAACCTTGCATATGACAAATAAACACAACTTGAACTTGAACTTGTAAAGCGTGGGCGTGGCAGTGACGGAGAGGCAGAACATGGCAAACGACGGATCTTAAATTAAGCAAAGATTTAAAAGTCTCACCAGTCAAAGGGGGTTGTATATGAAGTTGTAAACTATTCCCCTAATCCCTCATCACCTCTATATTTGGGTTTGAATCATGTGACATCAGAAAAGATACTGGTTGGTTGACCAGAGTGCTCCAAGCGTAGACGTTCAGGATATCACATCAATATGACGGGGGCACACCATTGTAAACTTAAAACGCAAGCAGTAAAATCATAAAGTCCATTTGGAAACAAGTCAGGAAGCCAGTGGAAAGAAGCCAGGACTGGAGTTATGCCTTCATATTTTTTAGTAACTGATGAGTGGCTGTGTTCTGGACGGATTGTAAGCAATTCAGAGAGGATTTATTTTAACACACAAAGCGTTTCAGTAGTCAAACGGAGAGGTAATAAAAGCCTGAATCAATTTCTTAAGATCTTTATGGCTTCACCTTTTCAATGAGTCTTAATTTTGAAAATAAAATTGATTTCACAACGGCACTGGTCCGTTTGTCTGATTTAACGGCACCATGACATGTATCTCATGAACCACTGGACAGATTTGAGTAAAACTCTCAGAAACTAATCACCGGGTGTCCCTCTGTCTGTTCAGTGTGCAGCTGTGACTTGGTGCACTCGGGTTTCTACCACCACTCAGGTGAGTACATCTGTACTGAGGACTACCAGCGGCTCTACGGGACCCAGTGTGACAGCTGTGACCAGTACATCACCGGAGAGGTGGTCTCTGCGCTGGGGAGGACGTACCACCCACACTGTTTTGTTTGCAGCATCTGTAGGTAAGGGAGGGGTGTTTGTGGGTGTTAAACATACTGCACAGCAAACAAGCACATGCAAAGAATGTAAGAAAACACCTGGAAAATGTTTATCATTGTCCAACAGAACCAGTAATTTTTTTGAAATTGCAGTAAAAATACAATACAGTTCGACAGCAACAATATGAATATGAAATAATTTATTTTGCTCTCGTTCCTAAGCTGCATTTTCTATATAGCTTTTTAATCCCATTTTCAGAGGTTTTTTGAACATTGCTTCAAATCTCTGAAAAGAACGGTTACAAATCATTGGATGTACATTTACAACTATCATTTTATTATTATTATTTTTTATTTAACCTTTATTTCACCAGGAAAATTCCATTGAGATTAAAAATCTCTTTTGCAAGAGAATCCTGGCCAAGACTGGCAACAGCACACAGAACAGAACAATCACAGCAAAAACAGAAAAAGTTATGTCCGTCATGAACAAATTAATTAAATGATTCCTCAGTTAAAACATTTACAGATGATTCCTTCTACAAATCAGTAAGAACAGCCTTAAAAACATGTAGTGACAACAGCTCCTTTAGGTTCATGTATTTCTACAACTGGTTCCAAGAAGATGGAGCAGAAAACTGAAATTATTTCTTTCCAAGTTCAGTTCTGACTTTAGGCACTGAAAGTAAAAATAAGTTATCACAATGAAGAGAGTATCCTCCGGTGGACTTTCTCTATATAAAGGCCAACAAATATGAAGGAAAAAGTCCTTGTATGTCCTTATGAATAAAAATATGCCATTGGTGGAGTCTATGAGTGGCCAAAGATGTCCATCCAACCCGGATGAATAGTGCAATGATGTGTAAAACCTTTTAAACCTGTTATGAATCTTAAAACTCCATGATAAACAGCATCCAGCAAATAAAGACATTTAAGAGGAGCATGCACAAATAAAATATCACCATAGTCCACTACAGACATTAAAAGTAGCATCAACCAGTCGCTTTCTAGCCTCAAAAGATAAACAGGATCTGATCCTGCAATAAAATCCCTATTTTAATCTCAGCTTCTTCACCAGCTGTTGAATGTGGGAAGTAAAAGACAAAAAATCATCTTTTAAAAATCCTAAATATTTATACTGTGATACTTTGTCAATTTTTTCAACTATAGTTGTTTAAAGTCAGCCTGATTCAAGATGGCTGCCACTGCTAAATGACCTTAGAAAACACAAAAATGGCTAATCAGTCAATTTTACAGGTAATTAGCTCAAATCTAATGCAGTATTTTTATTTATTTATTGAATTTAGTGAGCTCTGATTGCACGAGGTCTTTAGGCAGTGGGCGATATTCAGAAGTTCAAGAAATTTGATTTTCAATAAATACCAGATTGGTTAGTTTAAAAAGATATGCTACAATTATGCAAAACCAGACTATACAGCATAAATGCAAATGATTGCTGCTCCACTGAGGGATAGAGGAAAATTAGAAAATGTTTTTGTGGTCGGGTTGAACTGTGAATTTCTGCCCTGCATCATCAGCACAAAACACTCGATTTACTTTTATTCATGCGATTGTTTATTTTTTGTGTCTGTTCTCAGATGTCCATTCCCAATTGGAGACAGAGTGACCTTCTGCGGGAAAAAGTGTGTGTGTCAGCAGTGCTCGCACTCTCTAAAACGAGACAAGCCTGTCAAGGTCCACGGGCCGAGCTGTAAGAATTAAACACACCCTCAGTAATATATGCCCCCCCCCCCACCCCCCACACACACACACCAGCCATATTACACTTTAGTGGAGCACATAACATGTTGAGTGGATTTCTTATTATAAAGCAGTGGTTCTTAAACTTTTAGGGTTCAGGGACCCATTACAGAGGAGAAAACATTTCAGGGACCCCCTCATAACCCTCATGTTATTCCCTTATGCTCTTCAATTTGTTTATTTAATCCAATAGAAATATTTGTGTCATCATAACAGCAGTAGTCATACCAAGCTTAATTTGTAAACTGAATGATGACGGAGGGAGTCCTCCCCCAGAAAATTTTGAATAAAGCAGATGTGAGTTCCTGAATTTTAGTGTATTTTAACGGGTTGTTAAACATCAAGATCCTCCATCTGCCTGCACACGCAGTACGGACCTGTTCGTTCCGCAGGGAAACCTGGGATGTTCTCTGTCTGCCAGACCCGGTTCTGGACTGCGGTCTGTGAGGGCAGCTGCTGTGGTCCTATTACCATCAAGCTGCTGACTGGACCTGTTAATGCTGCTAACAAGACCACACCGCTAACAGAACAGAGCCATGATGAAAGAACATCACTGCTAACCAAATCACACTGTAGATGTTTGGGTTTTTTTTTTAGCTTTGGCGCCTTGTTTTTAGTATTTCAGTAGTAGTTTTTAGTAAGTTTTAGTATTTTTGCTGCATACGTTGGTATTTCTTACTTACTTTATTTTTTATTTTTGGGCGAGTCGCGACGATTCTTCTCGCTCTAAGCACTTCATTGCATTGTTGACCTTGTGTTGATTTTGCATATGACAAATAAACCAAACCTGATCTACATGTTTG